GAGCAAAAGCGTAAAGAGCGGAACTCGCGAGCGTGAGCGCCAGTGCAAGTGCATTTTTTTTCGGGAAGGTGAGCGGGACCGCAACTTTTTTTGAAATGTGAGTGGGAGCGGAAAAAAAAACAAATTATTTTACATTAGTCGCCGTAAGAAAAATAATTAATACGGTGAGCGCGGGCGTAAACTCGACGGAGCGAGTCAACCATGTATAAATACCACGGATCAGTTTTCTAAAAAATTAAAATTAGACTTATTTTTTTAAATTTAAATTATTAAATGCAGCCATTTACTTTTATTTATTTTCCTTGTTTGGAGAAATAAAACAAATCGTCTTGTGTATCAAAGACTCAGTTAAAAACCACTCAATTTAATAATCATGAAGTAGAATAGTCCACCACCTGCTTGACTTGAATGCTACGCCGGTTGCCTAATTTTAAACTGGTCTGATTGTGAATATTATATCATGGGCCATTTCCAAATCAATCTGATGGGTTGTTGGATTTGGATGAAACTTGGCATGATGATACCCTTAGGGTAGGTGGTCCAGGGCCGAATTTCACCTCGTGGGGGCCGTCGGGGGCCCGCGGCGTCCGTTCCGACCCTTTCCGAGCGCAAACTCATTTAAAATCCCATAAGCCGAGGATTCGCATAAAAATTATCCTAAAACTCGCATTTATGCATTTTACCACCGCCGTCGGCCGAATTCGGCCGCGGGTGACGAATTTCAGCCTGGGGGTTCCCGGGGGGCCGCCTTAGGCCCGCGGCGATCATTACGTCTCGTCCGAAGCTAAAGCGCATGTTAAATCCCATGAGAAAAGATTTTTGCCGAAAAATCGGCAATTCGGCCGCGGCGGGCGCGGGCGACTCCTTGAAAAATCGGCCGAAAAATTAGCTTCATTTTGTTTTTTTAAAATCGAAAATCCGTCCACTAGAACGGCCGCGGCGGCCTCCGGCGTTTGTATTTTTCCCCCATAAGAATAACACAGGCTGCGAGTTAGCAAATCGTCGGACGAAACTCGGAGGCGCCGCGTGTTAATAAAATGGCTCGGAACGCCGCGATTCATGCTCATTTCATCAGCGGCCGCCCTAATGCTGCCGCGGGTTCGAGCCGGCAGCCGGCTTACTCCCAAGCCGTTTTTATACTTTTATAAATATTTGCATTTACACGAATATGCAACTTCATCATTTGAAATAAATAATCACCATCAGAAAATAATTAGGCACTGCTGTGCACAACATAATTAAAATTTTTGCAATTTCCTCTATCATTGATTTGCAAAATATTGGAAATAAGTATTTACAGAAATAGAAATTGCAAGTTTGAAAATCATTATTATTGATGTTTATTAATTTGTCCAAATTGTTACATCATATTATTTACATTTAATTTAATTGTTGGAAACAATTTATTATTAGAGATAAGGAATTGTTGGACAAAATGGTGCCACTTCTAGCAAGAATTTTGCTCAAATGTAGTTCGATTATTTTTAGAAAAGTAATTTCCCTAAACTAGAGTTTTTGGCGGCGGCTGGCTTTGGCTGAGCCATCAAATTTTTTCTCGGTAGCGGCGGCTTAAAATTTACCGCGGCGGTTGGCAGTGTTTTTTCACTAATTATTTTAGGGAAATTATTATTATAAATTAATGATTAGTCTGCTTATTAATTTTTCCGCTTTTTACTTCCGAGATGATGATTTCTTTCTGAGGTTTTTTTTTACATTACTTAATTGAATAAAACAATAAAATCATAATTATGTATTTACTTCTCATATCATTCGTACCGTGGAAAAATGTCCCATCAATATCGCGACTGGTAAAATTGTCTGAAGTCAACTTGCGACTATTTTTCTCTCTTTACTTTTGAAACTATTTTTGGTCACGTCCACTTACTAATACGCATGCATTATGTCCGAGAACTGACTGCAACTCTAAAAAAGGCAATTTGCCAAGTGCCCTGCACGGAACATCCCCTAATAGCATAGTGTTCTGCCAAATGCGCAAAAATCTTTAAAACTGCTCTTAAAATTTGAAAATTGATCCGATTCAGATAATAATTGATTCATGCTATCTTCTTGATGCGTTACACACATGCCTCCCTGGTAAGTTAAATGAAAATTTGAAAATTCTATCTCTGTTTAAATCCTCTCTCATAAGTATTCCGATGCACTATATAATACTAATCTGATTGAATCTTGATTATTCGATGGCAATGAATGTTATCTCGCTACCAGCAAGCGCATAATACCTCAGCCTCAATAAAGAGATCTTAATAAAAGAAAGAAATGGATATATAGAAAAATTGATGTCTATTTAATTAATAAATTGTAACGTCCTGCGGCTCTTATTATTCCTACGTCGTAGAAACAACAATGAATTTAATTGAATTCAATATAATTATACCCATTTCAGATATTTAAGAAAAGCTAGTGAATTTATGCTGAGGTGAGAAAAATAGAAGTAACAAAAAATGTGCAGACTTTTAAAGCAAAATTGTTTATTTGATGCTCTCTTGTCTTGTCGTTCAGAGCTACTATTCTGGCATGCCCTTGTCTTCAATCCAGGATCCAGGTGGTCCAAATTTAAGAAATTAACGAATTCTTAATAATTTCCACCACAAATTTGTGGCAACGTAAAAATGCTCGTGAAAATTACAATTTCAATTTTTATAAGAATTATTTATAATTTTCTTATCGCTCACACATTGAAACACAATTCTATTAAGTAGATGTAAAATCATCCAAAAATATTTTAAAATGTATTAATTTGATTTCAATTTGAAAATTCTAGCATACTGTTTGCTAGACAAGCACAGGTAAGAATGCAAAGCACGCAAGTTTTCACTGCGGGGAGAAGCAATTTAACATGCAAGCAAAGGCATCAGACATGCTGGCGAATGTGAAAGAAAAATATTGTCCACTCACGTCTAAATCATCTGCTTCTTGCATTCTTTCGATAGGTCGGGGTTGCAGTTTTGCGCCACGTTGTGTTACACGTCCAAGAGCAGTGACCGCTGTGATTGTGATAGACAAAATTTTTCTGTCTAGACTCTCCTTCCTCCTTCCTTCCGCTCAGTCCAGTTCAATGCCCCTGCCAAAATTTTCGTCTCCTGACTGACGCGCTTACTTTCGATCAACCCCACTCCGCAATTTATGTCTGAGGGTTGCTGTCCGTTGACTGTTATTTCATGCGATAAATATATTTTATTTTAGACTTACAAAATAGTTGAATGAGAATATACAGACAGAAAATAAATTAAATATTTAAATTTCATGTTTTTTTCTTTTTACATATTTCGTCCAATATGAATGTTTAATTTAGTTAGAATTGAAATGAAGAAGCCAATTTTCATTCATGTTGCATAATTTTGCGCAGGATAGGAAATGCAAGTGAATCTTGTCGCTCGTCTAGACTCCCCTTCCCGTTTTCGTGTACTTGTCGTGTCATTGACCTCTATCGCAATACATAAGCGGAGATGTGAACCTTCTCCACATTCCTACTCCCCCTTCAACATTGAATGCCCTCTCAGGGTGCTTTTAGCTAAATTTTTGGTTCCGAGGTTTCCTCCGCGTGCGGCATTCATTCGGCGACTCTCCGACAGAGAACAAATCAATTTAAAATCGCGATGTTTCCTTTCAACGGTATGTATGTTACGGAAATATTTTTTTTGTCATTTTTGCAATTTTGTGTTTTCAAATTTGAAAATATTTGCTAACTCTCTTACTATTTAAGAGAAATAAGAAAATTCAGTAAAACCCAATTTTAATAGAGATTGTGAGCAGTTTTACGACCTTCGTCGATGTTTTCTAATTTTCTAGCCGGTCTCATGAAGAGAAAGAAACTCAATGAAACATTACAATTTTATTATACAAGAGCGAAAAATATAGCGTTGTTCAGCTGCCAAATTTACCCATTTTTTATTTATTTTGTTCATTACAAATTGTTTCATCACTCTTTCAAATTTATACTTCAGAAAAACTTGCTGAGCCGATGACCCGCCGCCGTAAAAAATTCCTGAGCCATCACCATTGAATTTTATTGGCGGCTCAGTGAATGACGAGATATAATTATTATTTTTTCCCTTATATTTAATGGATATGTAATGTAAAAAAGTGATTTATTTCGAATTACTTTCTTCTCTTGCATGATTCAAATTGATGATTTTTTGAAATCTCTATTTCGGAAGGAATTGGCTAGTGATGAATTAGCTGTGTCAACTCTATGCTTTTCCACGTGCCGACATCAAGACGGAGCTACGGAGTCATTATGTGATGGTCTTTTATTAATTTTCACTGACTATCGCCAATTTATTTAACCTTTTCATCCCCTCTTAAAAAATTCTTTAATTATTTTTTTAATTACATTATTAATCAATTTATTTTTTCAAACTAGATTTATAACTTCGGATGATTGAAGGAGATAATTTTTTTTAAAATAATGGAAATTATGTAATATGACAAAATTGATGCAGTGCAAGTTTATTAGCAACATAAAGTAACTTATGTGCATAAATTCTAATCTATAACCATTTTTCACCCAAGTTTTATTCATATTTATTAACTCTCCGACGGTTGATTGTATAATTACATATTTGTATATTTTTTGCCTGTGTTCTGCTTTAAGTTTTGCTAACCTAATCTGTTTCACTTGAACTGAATAAAAATGAATTGCAAAAAGTTAACCCAGCGTTAATAATATTATTTTAAGAGAAAAATTTTATTACAAATTCATGAAAAGTGCGAAATGAAAAATGAAATAGAGCGTTTTTTAGCATTGTCGCGTTCCCCGTTGATCCGTAGCATAAGCGCGCAAGGCAGCTCTGGCTGTTTGAATGTTTCTTCGCGTTTGTGACCCTGTAATCATGCTTGTATGATTTTTTTAAATGATTTTGTGCTCTACATTCAATTAAAATTCACTCGAGCATATACGTCAGTTAATGATACACGAATAAGTTTAAAATTGTGTTTTTAAATCTGTCAATATACGTAATGAAATGTTTTTCTTTTAGGTCTGAGCACACACCAGGGTTGGATGCAACCACAAATTTGGCCAAATGGGTCGTTGCCGTTACAACTTTATAATTCTTCAAACGGAATGATTCCTCCATCACCACCCATTTTTTATGGTAATATTCGTTATATTTTTAATTGATTCTAAAATGATCCTTGCTAGTGTAAACTGTAAGGTAAATTATCAACTTAAGAAATAAAAAATTTACCATAAATTTCGTCATCTGACAATTATTTTCCTTAACATCAAGTCATTGCTAAAAAAAATGATGTTATGCAATGAAAGAGCAACACAGGTCACCCGAATAAAAAAATTTTATAATTACATTACCTTTGCAGGTCGTGGATTCTTCATGCCAGAATGCTTGAATACAGTGCAGCCAAACTTGATGCCTTTGGGAATGACATACCCACAACCATCACCTGCACAACAAAGTAGTCATTTTGTACCACAACCTCTATATCTGACCCCTGTTGGTGCCACATATGCCCCTGCTGTGTATGGACAGCTCACCCACCCTCCAACTTTTGCGCAAGGTGCGCACCAGGGACACCAAGGATTTCCTCCACAATCTGCAATGTTGAGTGGTGGTCAGACTGGCCCACCGGCTGCGCCGATTGGAAACCTGGCGGCACAGCAAGGGCTGATCCAGTCTCAGCCCCCTTTGAACTGGACCGCTGGTGCTTCAGCAGCTCACCATGGAGTTCCTCCACAATCTGCAACATTGAGTGGTGGTCAGACTGGCCCACCGGCTGCGCCGATTGGAAACCTGGCGGCACAGCAAGGGCTGCTCCAGTCTCAGCCCCCTTTGAACTTGACCGCTGGTGCTCCAGCAGCTCACCATGGAGTTCCTCCACAATCTGCAACATTGAGTGGTGGTCAGACTGGCCCACCGGCTGCGCCGATTGGAAACCTGGCGGCACAGCAAGGGCTGCTCCAGTCTCAGCCCCCTTTGAACTTGACCGCTGGTGCTCCAGCAGCTCACCATGGAGTTCCTCCACAATCTGCAACATTGAGTGGTGGTCAGACTGGCCCACCGGCTGCGCCGATTGGAAACCTGGCGGCACAGCAAGGGCTGCTCCAGTCTCAGCCCCCTTTGAACTTGACCGCTGGTGCTTCAGCAGCTCACCATGGAGTTCCTCCACAATCTGCAACATTGAGTGGTGGTCAGACTGGCCCACCGGCTGCGCCGATTGGAAACCTGGCGGCACAGCAAGGGCTGCTCCAGTCTCAGCCCCCTTTGAACTTGACCGCTGGTGCTCCAGCAGCTCACCATGGAGTTCCTCCACAATCTGCAACATTGAGTGGTGGTCAGACTGGCCCACCGGCTGCGCCGATTGGAAACCTGGCGGCACAGCAAGGGCTGCTCCAGTCTCAGCCCCCTTTGAACTTGACCGCTGGTGCTCCAGCAGCTCACCATGGAGTTCCTCCACAATCTGCAACATTGAGTGGTGGTCAGACTGGCCCACCGGCTGCGCCGATTGGAAACCTGGCGGCACAGCAAGGGCTGCTCCAGTCTCAGCCCCCTTTGAACTTGACCGCTGGTGCTCCAGCAGCTCACCAAGGAGTTCCTCCACAATCTGCATCGTTGAGTGGTCGTCCACTCATGATTGGCACCCAAGGTTTGTCTGGAAACAAGCAGCAGCAGCTTGCAGCCGCCCTTCCACCCGATCCAATAACTCATGCAGGCCACAACTTCCACGTCGATTTGACGAGGCCAAAAGACAGGAATCCAAGGAAGCTTTTTCCGCCACTACCAAGGAAGCGCTTTCACCCATTTGTTAGTTTTTATAATGTCAAAATCTTAAAGCAATCTTAAATTTGAACATTTTCTCTTCCAGGAGAGCCAACGAAGGGGAGAATCAAATCAAAGGAACGGTGAGGTCAGGAAAACGAGAAGCAGAGGCACAATGTCTACACCATCCTTCCGTCCAGGTAAATGCCAGATATCAATTTTCATTCCTCTTTCTCCACTTGAATATTTTTTTATAATTTTGAATTTTACTTTAAGTAACAAAAAAAAATTATTCTTCTCATGAAAGACAAAATGGCATTCTTTTGATTTTCTGTGTAATATGAACATCAAATTATGCATAGATTGCAAGATATAAGCAAAAATAATTATTTAACACACCGATAACTGACTCGAAATACAACACAAACTTCGGTTTTTAACAGAAAAATCAGAAATTCTTATCGAAGCTACTTTTCTAAAGATATTCTATTATTATTTTTTTTTGTATTGCATTTATTAGATTCTTTTGGTTGAAGATTACAGAAAAATCTTTAAAAATATTTACATTGCCGATTTTCAGTCCAAAAAAAATATTTAAAAACTAATTTTCTTTGTAGATTCAGTTGTACGTTTCACATTACGCAAGGGAAATGTGCTGGATTATATTGAAGAAAAGAAAGTGTTGGTCCACTGCATTTCTGCTTGTGCAAGTCTGGGCAAAGGCTTTGCAAAATCACTGAGCCTGTACTTTCCGATGATTCGCAGCACCTTAAGAAAATATCATCTTACAGTGGGCTCGTGTGTGTCAGTTAAGCTACCAAATAATTTGCAAGTTTTAAATTTGGTCACGAAAAAAAAGGCAACGGATTTGCCAACGATGGAGAATTTTACAAAATCAGTTGCTGCCATGAAAAATAGTATTGATCTTCTGGATATCAAGCACATCGTTATGCCGAAAATTGGCTGCGGCCTGGACCAGTTAGATTTCAAGAATGTTAAACGTACACTTCTTACAATTTTGAAAGATAGCAAAATTTCCATAGAAATGTTTGTGTTGTAATTTTTTTGCAAATATTTTGAAATTCAATTGTACTTTTTTGTTTTCTACAAATAATGATAATAACAGAATAAAATCACCAAATATTATGCTGCATAAGATTTCCTCTTGGTTTATTCAAATTTAAAAATACTTTATTCTTATATTTCAGAATCAAAACTGGACGAGCTTTTCAGCCTATCAAATAAGAAAGAAAACACAGCTGTCATCATTCCTGTGCACTGCTCAGATGGCCATCCTAACGGAGCTTTAAATCTTTTCTGCAAAATTAATCCTTCCTTCAGTAGTTTGGATATTCTTGATGATTTGCACAGCAGTGCACACCGAAAGCTGATTCTTCCCGTTCGTAAAATTTGCCTCCTGTTTTTAAGAATTCCATACAGCAGAGGGAAAATTCTTGTTGATGAACTGTTGGATTGCTTGGAAATATGCTTCAAGGACATTGACAATATCAAAGTACTTGAAGCAGCCAAGTGCTGTGGCAACGCGTGGCCACAAATTAGTTCCAAAATTAAAAAGCTGTGCACCGAAAAGAAAATTGATTACATTTGGTACAATTAATTGAACTGCGTCTGTTAGCCGGTAACACTATAGTAAGGTCCAGAGCCTGCTCGTCTGGTTATTACAAAGTTTAGTCTTTTCTCGTGCTCAATTTGCAAAGATCTGCGCATTTTTTAAAGGTATCTTTCAGTATCTTTGTGTATTTTTAATATGTAGAAGGAGTACTATTGATGTTTAATTGAATATCACAGTATAATAATAAGCAAAACAAGAATAGTACCAAGTGGTACTAAGGAAGTGCGAAGCAAATTAAATTAGCCGCTTGAAATGAATTATTGGTTTTAAGCCTATTGTGAATTTTTGTTTATTCAAATATATTGCTGACTGTATAAAGATCATGACACTTTTTAAGTTCTTGCATGCGTCTCCATTGAATTCTATTGTTATTTATTCTACTGCCTCGTGCTCAATCCATATGAAAATGTTTCTTTTTTTTCTCTTTGTCAAATCAGAAAGTTATAGATAAACTGAGAAGCACTGAAAACAAATAAACTGAAATCTTTTTCAATAAAAAATGGAGCATAATAATTTTTTAATCTTCCCTTTTAAGCTTAGAAAAAAATTGAGACTTGATAACTAGTAAATTTGCTGGCTCTTAATTACTCTTGCCTGCCGCCTCTCGACCAGCTCTAAATGCCTCTTCATTTATATTTGTTTCTCTAAACCGCTCTTAACAATGAGCTACGATTAGTTGCTTGGGCAGAGTGGCGTTTCTTTATCCCTATGATGCTCCAGCCCTCTAGCAAGCTGCCTTTTTTCATCAAAATTAGATAATGGTGATAATTTTGCAAATTAAGTAGTGGTTTGAGATTTTTTAATTGGGGCCATATTTAAAACATGCTTTTTAGGAGCACGCGATGAAAGCAAATTATATTAATATGATTGGTTTTTTAAATGAACCATACAGCGTGTAAGAAAAAGTCTGAAAAAAAACAAATTTAAAAAATGCCCTTTAGAAATTTTAACTTGAATGTCCGATGAGAAAATATTCATGATTTTATTTGACGATTCGATTTATGCAAGCAAATCGAAGGTTGTATGGAGCATATTGATCTTGCATCCTCCAAGGATACATTCTTTAACAAGTATTTTATCATTTATGAATAATTACTTGGGCTTTTAATATTAAAAGGTGGGTTTTGCCTTAATTAAATAAGCCAGTCTAGTGCCGCATAAAATGTATCGATAAACTTAACTGTAAGTTTTAATGGATAGGCAACCGGCGTTGCAGTCTGGTCACGCGGGTGGCATACTTTTTTTTGCATACTTTTCAGTAGCATTTTCAAGATGCGCCGTTTCTGAATTAAAAGACTGGTCTGCCCTGATGATGAGCGATATTAAATCCCGCCTCCTTGCTGATCCGAAGGGTAGTGGAGACTTAATTAAGCAGGACAGGTGCGCCGAGCCGAGGTCCTCCCGTTTGAGACGGGCCCGGGATGGCTCTCCGAAGGTCCTCTTGCGAGCGGTGAAAATGAGCTTTGGGCAGCACAGGGGTGCCCGATCCGTCGCCACCTGCAGATTTCTTTTTTTCTGTACGCTGATTGTTGCTACTCTACCGAGAGCCGCTCTCTCGGTCGCAGTGAATTTTTTTCCCTCTTATTTCAAAATTCATTTTTTTTTCAGTTTCAATTTTTTTTTTGATAATTTTAAATTTCCTTGTATTTTTCTTTTCAGATTTTACTAGATGAATTCTTGCTTAGGGCTTCTTCTTACTCAAACCTCCTCCAGATTTCGATCTCCAAGCGCTATTTCCCTCTTCAATTTTTTTTTCTTCTCAAAATTCCATTTTAATTTCCAACACTCTGCTCTTGGATATAAGGTCCTTTGGCTCTCAAATTGTTTAAATTTTAACTCAAGCTAATTTATCTTTGACTATTCCGTATTGGGCGCCTGCTAAAGCCTTCTGTGGCGAGCAGGGCTGCGGAGGGCTCCGGACCTTGGTTGCGCTTTGCCGGGCTAATTTGGCAGGAAATAATCATTAGCAGTGTTTAAATACACCTGGCGCTTGTGCATATATATGTCTCAAACCAGCTCGTGAACTCCAAAGAGAACGGGGACCCTTCGCGCATTTTTTAACCAGAGCACTCGGCACTCAGGTAGGAATGCTCCGTGCTGCTCTGAACTCCTTCAGTCCCTTTTTGCAAAATTAAAATAATTGAAACTAAAAAAAAAAAAAAAATGGAAAGATAAAAAGCACATGATATTCACAACTAATTAATTTTATTCTCAGATCTTCACAATCGCTTTTCAATAAAATTGAACAAGCACTGCAACTCTTGATCACGTGTTCGGCTAGCGCAGTACTGCTTCACAATAGAGTACACGTTAGCTGGAAAAAAAGGGTGGTATAATTTTTTTGTCGTTTTAATTTTTGAAAGGGATTAATTACCAACTGATGTTGACTTGCTATATATATGAGACTTGAATTCCTCAAACTCCTGAATTAAAATTTTGTCATTCAACAGGTGGAAATGAATGTTTCTGCAGCATGCAGAAGCTGCAAGCAGTTGCAAAATAATTTTCAACTTTGGTTCACCCTGCGCAAAGCAAAAATTAATACTATTACTGTATAACTAACTGTACTAAATTATTTTATTAAATATACCTTAAATACTCCACAACCCCATTTCCCTGTGGCGATGGGTGGAGCATCAGGATCACTGGATTTGAAGGCTGTGTATGCTTTGCATAGCTCTCTTTCAATAGAATCTGCGGAAAATTGATCCTCAGCACATCTACTGTAGTCCACAGCGTCCATGATAACAATATTTTTATCACGCGCTGACGCCATTGCATGCAGCCCTGGATTAAGTAAATTATATTATCAAACATAAGCCAATTACTAAAAATTATACTTATGCTACTTTTAGCCTACATTTTGTAAAATGCAAATTTTAAATTTTACCAAGCGACGCTTAAGTGTCATATAAAAGCAATTAAAAATTACCTTGCCATTTGAAACTTTTTCCATAACCCCTTGTGTCATTCACTTTGCTGACGCCAAAAATTTGTGCTGCATCGTTGTCACCAAACTTTTCATATAGCAGCACTCCAATTGTTGCTTCTGTGTGTTGACAGAGCATAATTTCCTCTTGAACACACCCTTCTCCAAGTGTTCCTCCACTGAAGTATCTGCCGGAGCGGAATATGAAATGAAATTTTTTAAATTTAAAACAGCAAATTATCTATTGATTTTTATACTTGTTGGCAAAATCGACAATGCTCGAAAAATTCTTTGCATCTTCAATTTTGCTCGTCAGTGCAAGTGCATCAGTTATATTCAAGGAAAGATTGTGCCATTTAGGAATTTCCATTTTCGGCGTCGACTTCCTGTAAAATGTGACTTGGCCAAAGACATCTAAACTTAAAAGATATTTAGAAGGTTATCAACTTTATAAAATATAATTTTATACCTTCGGTTGCACAAAAATGAAAGTACTGCAGGAAGCACTTCAGTTTTTCACGTCTTCCTACAGAATTTCCCTCGAAAAGGCTATAAGGATTATTAATATTTGTAGAAAGAGTAAAAAAATGATAAAAAACAATAAAAATATTTTCAACCAAATTTTTACAGATGGTAAAAAAAGTTGTGTAACATAAGGAAATAATCTAATAATAATATTTATAGATATATATATATATACCTAAGGAGGGAAAACTCGGAAAATTTCCCTTTCGGTTGCTTAACAAGTCCGAAAAAAGCCAATGAGAGCAACACAAAGCAGTCCTTACGGTCCAAGGTGACTGACTCAAAAGTCTTGTTAGCAAGCAACAACGGCAAATTGTTGCTAAAGATGGATTTAGAGGAAACAACAGCTTGCACCATTTTAGGAATAGTCTTCTCAAAGAAGCTGTTTGAAATTTCGATGCCAGTTGGATGTTGGCTCAATTCGCTCAAAGCTTCCAAAAGGTTACTCAAATCATCCACCTTAGGACGAAATATTTTTATCACTGCAATAAGACCACTGCAGTTGTGAACCGGTGTTGCAAGAACTTTGAGAAGATGACTCCACTAAATGAAATAAGAGAATAATTAAAAATACTATGCTAGTCATAGTTTAAATTTACCCTCTTTTCATCATGGAAACCAAATGTAGCAAAACAATCCGCAGCGGGGCAAGAAGGTGTGGAAAATGCTTTATGTTCACTGCAAAAGATTTTTATTACAATGTAAAATGAGCAAACATTAGAAAATCTTTACCTAGCATGCACGTAGTGCTTAAAGGAAGCAGGGAAAAAGCAGCGCTCATTCACAACGGAGAGATCCATAGCAAATAGATACTTCCTGAAAACAATTAAAAAATAATTATAATTTTTTGATAAAAAAATTTAGAATTGTCGTTTTAAAAAAGTGGCTGCCCCCGGGGGCGGCTCCTGAACTGCGATCATCAATGAGGCTATACCACTTTGTAGACAAGTACTTGGGCCACCTTTGTGCAAAAAATCAGCAAAATTCAACCATAGATATTAATTTAAATTAAAAAAAACTATTTTTTTGAGTGAAAATCGTCGTTTTAAAAAAGTGGCTGCCCCCGGGGGCAGCTCCTGATCTGCGATCATTAATGAGGCTATTGCCCCTTTGTAAAAAAGTATTTGGGCCACCTTTGTGCAAAAATTTAGAAAAATTCAACCATAGATATTAATTTAAATTAAAAAAAACTATTTTTTTTTTATTGAAAATCGTCGTTTTGAAAAAGTGGCTGCCCCCGGGGGCGGCTCCTGATCTGCGATCATCAATGAGGCTATTGCCACTTTGTAAACAAGTACTTGGGCCACCTTTGTGCAAAGAATCAGCAAAATTCAACCATAGATATTAATTTAAATTAAAAAAAAACTATTTTTTTGAGTGAAAATCGTCGTTTTAAAAAAGTGGCTGCCCCCGGGGGCAGCTCCTGATCTGCGATCATTAATGAGGCTATTGCCCCTTTGTAAAAAAGTATTTGGGCCACCTTTGTGCAAAAATTTAGAAAAATTCAACCATAGATATTAATTTAAATTAAAAAAAACTATTTTTTTTTTATTGAAAATCGTCGTTTTGAAAAAGTGGCTGCCCCCGGGGGCGGCTCCTGATCTGCGATCATCAATGAGGCTATTGCCACTTTGTAAACAAGTACTTGGGCCACCTTTGTGCAAAGAATCAGCAAAATTCAACCATAGATATTAATTTAAATTAAAAAAAAACTATTTTTTTGAGTGAAAATCGTCGTTTTAAAAAAGTGGCTGCCCCCGGGGGCAGCTCCTGATCTGCGATCATTAATGAGGCTATTGCCCCTTTGTAAAAAAGTATTTGGGCCACCTTTGTGCACAAAATCAGCAAAATTCAACCATAGATATTAATTTAAATTAAAAAAAAACTATTTTTTTGAGTGAAAATCGTTGTTTTAAAAAAGTGGCTGCCCCCAGGGGCGGCTCCTAATCTGCGATCATCAATGAGGCTATTGTCCCTTTGTAATCAAGTACTTGGGCCACCTTTGTGCAAAGAATCAGCAAAATTCAACCATAGATATTAATTTAAATTAAAAAAAAACTATTTTTTTGAGTGAAAATCGTTGTTTTAAAAAAGTGGCTGCCCCCAGGGGCGGCTCCTGATCTGCGATCATTCATGAGGCTATTGCCCCTTTGTAATCAAGTACTTGGGCCACCTTTGTGCAAAGAATCAGCAAAATTCAACCATAGATATTAATTTAAATTAAAAAAAACTATTTTTTCATTGAAAATCGTCGTTTTAAAAAAGTGGCTGCCCCCGGGGGCGGCTCCTAATCTGCGATCATCAATGAGGCTATTGTCCCTTTGTAAAAAAGTATTTGGGCCACCTTTGTGCACAAAATCAGCAAAATTCAACCATAGATATTAATTTAAATTAAAAAAAAACTATTTTTTTGAGTGAAAATCGTTGTTTTAAAAAAGTGGCTGCCCCCAGGGGCGGCTCCTAATCTGCGATCATCAATGAGGCTATTGTCCCTTTGTAATCAAGTACTTGGGCCACCTTTGTGCAAAAAATCAGCAAAATTCAACCATAGATATTAATTTAAATTAAAAAAAAACTATTTTTTTGAGTGAAAATCGTTGTTTTAAAAAAGTGGCTGCCCCCAGGGGCGGCTCCTGATCTGCGATCATTCATGAGGCTATTGCCCCTTTGTAATCAAGTACTTGGGCCACCTTTGTGCAAAGAATCAGCAAAATTCAACCATAGATATTAATTTAAATTAAAAAAAACTATTTTTTTCATTGAAAATCGTCGTTTTAAAAAAGTGGCTGCCCCCGGGGGCGGCTCCTAATCTGCGATCATCAATGAGGCTATTGTCCCTTTGTAAAAAAGTATTTGGGCCACCTTTGTGCAAAAAATCAGCAAAATTCAACCATAGATATTAATTTAAATTAAAAAAAACTATTTTTTTGAGTGAAAATCGTTGTTTTAAAAAAGTGGCTGCCCCCAGGGGCGGCTCCTAATCTGCGATCATCAATGAGGCTATTGTCCCTTTGTAATCAAGTACTTGGGCCACCTTTGTGCAAAAAATCAGCAAAATTCAACCATAGATATTAATTTAAATTAAAAAAAAACTATTTTTTTGAGTGAAAATCGTTGTTTTAAAAAAGTGGCTGCCCCCAGGGGCGGCTCCTGATCTGCGATCATTCATGAGGCTATTGCCCCTTTGTAATCAAGTACTTGGGCCACCTTTGTGCAAAGAATCAGCAAAATTCAACCATAGATATTAATTTAAATTAAAAAAAACTATTTTTTCATTGAAAATCGTCGTTTTAAAAAAGTGGCTGCCCCCGGGGGCGGCTCCTAATCTGCGATCATCAATGAGGCTATTGTCCCTTTGTAAAAAAGTATTTGGGCCACCTTTGTGCACAAAATCAGCAAAATTCAACCATAGATATTAATTTAAATTAAAAAAAACTATTTTTTTGAGTGAAAATCGTTGTTTTAAAAAAGTGGCTGCCCCCAGGGGCGGCTCCTGATCTGCGATCATTCATGAGGCTATTGCCCCTTTGTAATCAAGTACTTGGGCCACCTTTGTGCAAAGAATCAGCAAAATTCAACCATAGATATTAATTTAAATTAAAAAAAACTATTTTTTTCATTGAAAATCGTCGTTTTAAAAAAGTGGCTGCCCCCGGGGGCGGCTCCTAATCTGCGATCATCAATGAGGCTATTGTCCCTTTGTAAAAAAGTATTTGGGCCACCTTTGTGCAAAAAATCAGCAAAATTCAACCATAGATATTAATTTAAATTAAAAAAAACTATTTTTTTGAGTGAAAATCGTTGTTTTAAAAAAGTGGCTGCCCCCAGGGGCGGCTCCTGATCTGCGATCATTAATGAGGCTATTGCCCCTTTGTAATCAAGTACTTGGGCCACCTTTGTGCAAAGAATCAGCAAAATTCAACCATAGATATTAATTTAAATTAAAAAAAAACTATTTTTTTGAGTGAAAATCGTCGTTTTAAAAAAGTGGCTGCCCCCGGGGGCGGCTCCTGATCTGCGATCATCAATGAGGCTATTGTCCCTTTGTAAAAAAGTATTTGGGCCACCTTTGTGCAAAAAATCAGCAAAATTCAACCATAGATATTAATTTAAATTAAAAAAAAACTATTTTTTTGAGTGAAAATCGTTGTTTTGAAAAAGTGGCTGCCCCCAGGGGCGGCTCCTAATCTGCGATCATCAATGAGGCTATTGTCCCTTTGTAATCAAGTACTTGGGCCACCTTTGTGCAAAAAATTAGAAAAATTCAACCATAGAAAATATTTTAAATTAAAAAAAAAACTATTTTTTTGAGTGAAAATCGTCGTTTTAAAAAAGTGGCTGCCCCCGGGGGCAGCTCCTGATCTGCGATCATTAATGAGGCTATTGCCCCTTTGTAAAAAAGTATTTGGGCCACCTTTGTGCAAAAATTTAGAAAAATTCAACCATAGATATTAATTTAAATTAAAAAAAACTATTTTTTTTTTATTGAAAATCGTCGTTTTGAAAAAGTGGCTGCCCCCGGGGGCGGCTCCTGATCTGCGATCATCAATGAGGCTATTGCCACTTTGTAAACAAGTACTTGGGCCACCTTTGTGCAAAGAATCAGCAAAATTCAACCATAGATATTAATTTAAATTAAAAAAAACTATTTTTTTTTTATTGAAAATCGTCGTTTTGAAAAAGTGGCTGCCCCCGGGGGCGGCTCCTGATCTGCGATCATCAATGAGGCTATTGTCCCTTTGTAATCAAGTACTTGGGCCACCTTTGTGCAAAAAATTAGAAAAATTCAACCATAGAAAATATTTTAAATTAAAAAAAAAACTATTTTTTTGAGTGAAAATCGTCGTTTTAAAAAAGTGGCTGCCCCCGGGGGCAGCTCCTGATCTGCGATCATTAATGAGGCTATTGCCCCTTTGTAAAAAAGTATTTGGGCCACCTTTGTGCAAAAAATCAGCAAAATTCAACCATAGATATTAATTTAAATTAAAATAAACTATTTTTTTCATTGAAAATCGTCGTTTTAAAAAAGTGGCTGCCCCCGGGGGCGGCTCCTGATCTGCGATCATCAATGAGGCTATTGTCCCTTTGTAATCAAGTACTTGGGCCACCTTTGTGCAAAAAATCAGCAAAATTCAACCATAGATGTTAATTTAAATTAAAAAAAACTATTTTTTTGAGTGAAAATCGTTGTTTTGAAAAAGTGGCTGCCCCCAGGGGCGGCTCCTAATCTGCGATCATCAATGAGGCTATTGTCCCTTTGTAATCAAGTACTTGGGCCACCTTTGTGCAAAAAATCAGCAAAATTCAACCATAGATGTTAATTTAAATTAAAAAAAACTATTTTTTTGAGTGAAAATCGTTGTTTTGAAAAAGTGGCTGCCCCCAGGGGCGGCTCCTAATCTGCGATCATCAATGAGGCTATTGTCCCTTTGTAATCAAGTACTTGGGCCACCTTTGTGCAAAAAATTAGAAAAATTCAACCATAGAAAATATTTTAAATTAAAAAAAAAAACTATTTTTTTGAGTGAAAATCGTCGTTTTAAAAAAGTGGCTGCCCCCGGGGGCGGCTCCTGAACTGCGATCATCAATGAGGCTATTGTCCCTTTGTAATCAAGTACTTGGGCCACCTTTGTGCAAAAAATCAGCAAAATTCAACCATAGATATTAATTTAAATTAAAAAAAAACTATTTTTTTGAGTGAAAATCGTTGTTTTAAAAAAGTGGCTGCCCCCAGGGGCGGCTCCTGATCTGCGATCATTCATGAGGCTATTGCCCCTTTGTAATCAAGTACTTGGGCCACCTTTGTGCAAAGAATC